CTCATTATGTAGCACATAACAGGACTGCCATCACAGTGCTTGATTTGTATCTTTTTTAAATTACATTAATGAAATATCATGTGTGACATTGCATTGCAAACACATTGCTGTGCATTGTACCACACAATGTACCCCCAAGGGTGTAAGCTCACCATACAGATGGACCCCTATCAAGGGGTAACAGAAGCTCACTATCTCTATTAAGTCATATCAAAGGAAAAGAAATCCCTTGGAAGTTTCTTAGTGCTCCACACAGAAGATTTTGTTATTACTTTCTGTTTGATTATCTGGGACTTTTTTGCACAGAGGGCATATTATCCACAGACTGAAATTATTTTATTTTCATTTTATACTCATATGTTATGTTTGTTCACATTTTTTTTTGTATGGTTGTGGTTTTGAATATTATTTCATATATGCATATTGATTTTGAATTTATTAGATTTTGGTTCCACAGTGAGATTATTGTATGTCCATTTTTTTGTGCATTGTGTAACTATTTTAGGTTTATTTATATTTCTCTGGATGGGTATGTACTGTATATTTTTGAATATTTCACATACATGTTGAGATTTTTGAGAGCACAGCACTAATTAGCACACAAATTACTTTTTTAACTTGCAGCTGATATAATTATTAAGGAGCAAACTGATTTTCACTTAATATTTAAAATTCCACCTGGCAGCATTAGGGTCATGGGTACAAATCCCTACCATGGCACTATCTGCCTAGAGTTTTCTCCTTGTGCCTGTGTGGGTTTAAGCCTAGTACTATGGTTTCATCCCACACTCAAAATACATGCTGATAGGTTAATTGGCTACTGTCTAGATTGGCCCTAGTTTGTGTATGTATGAATATGAGTTAGGGACCTTAGATTGTAAGCTCCTTGAGGGCAGGGACTGATGTGAAAGTACAATAATAATGTAAAGTGCTACATTAAATATAAGTGCTATATAAGTACCTGTAATAAATAAATAAAGGTTTGGTATCTACTTACTCGGTACAATATAATCTTTTATATTTTGCCAAAAATAGGTATGATAATCATGAGGTATGATTGTGTTTGCGTGCACTAAAATACATTTCATTGCATTTTTTCCTGTAAATATCCATTTGATAAGTGGCTGTGGAAATACCATGCAACATAAAACATTACAGGATTATTATATTATTATTATACAGTATTTATATAGCGCCAAAAAGTTTGCTCAGCGCTGTACATTATAGTGGGGGACAGTACATGAGACAATACAGTGACAATACAATTCATGAGGGGTTCGAGGGCCCTGCTCTTTGGAGCTTACAATCTAGGAGATAAAGATCTAGGATCTAGGTTAAAGAATAGTGCAGCACTAAATAACACTAGATTAAAATATAACCTGCCTTATGAGTAAAAAATCATCAGTACATGAGATACAAAAAATTAGTGCAAATAGTATATGTCGAAAAAGTCACCTCCCCTTACTATTCTATGATCAATGTTCACATTAAACATCAATCCATATATCATAAATAAACTGATATTACAAAGAATAATTAAAGAATTAAAGAATAATCAAGCAGTGTTGGAAAATAGGTATGTCCAAATTCTTATAATTTCCAAAACAGTGCAAAGAAAAAAGGAAAGAACTTCTTCACCCTGTCACCAGGTCATGAACTATCCTCCACCCTTATGCACTCACCAGAGGGCTAAAATATAGATGCATGAATTATAGCCAGTGTTGTATAATCCAAGCACTGGTTCCAGCATTCCAATCTCTGGTCAACCCTTAGATGTCTTCACTTTCAGGCTGACCAACTTTGCTTTGTTAATCCAAATGTTCTAGAGGATTAGTCAGAATGATGTCACAATTGCACAGATTGATTATTGGGAATGGATACTCCAAATTGCAGTGGTGTTCCACATTTCTTGAGGACTTCAAGACTGACCTAACACAAGATTTTGCCCCTTAGATACCAGATGATTTGTTCAATCACTAGCCACAAAAACTGCAAGGATTCTCACCAAGAGCTTCCCAAAATCATCACCTGACACATCCAAATCCATTACTCCTCCCCTCTTCTCTGATGACCTGAATTAACCACCTCGTGAGAGGGAGAGGGACCCATTCTTTCACAAATGTTTGTAGAAGCAGTCTGCATGCCTAGGTGCTTGATTTTACACACATGTGTCCATGGAGGTGACTGGAACACCTGAATCCAATGATTTGGAGGGGTGTCCTAATATTTTTGGCAATATAGTGTATATGACCTCCTCATATAATTCAGCATTCAGGTCTTACAGCCAATAGTTAGACCTAAGCACTGTAAAATGATGACGATGTTGACATCACCACCTCTTCCAGTCTCCGACACCAGTTGAACCTGCCTATTTTGGTGGTGGCCACAAAAGAGTAAGGAGCAGTGGAGAATCACAGGAGAGGTCTCACAGGATTGCAATAACTATTTAGGCCCCATCAGTCAAGAGAACAACCTGCAAAGAACTGCCTCCATGCAGACTGCATATTCGTTCTCTACAGGCACTTCACTTACTTAAGTGAAGTGGGCTTGTGCATACTTTAAGCATCAAAACATATAAAAACATAGTTTATTCACATTGCTGCTGTTTGAAGTGAATATAGTTTAATTGTATCCCTTTATAACTATAGTAAATCACTTCCCTGCAAATGCCAGGTCATGCCGCTGTCTGGCAGCACTTCAGCCAGTTATCAAAGTTTCCCTGCCCTATAAGTATACTGTATATATCAATGATAAAATGTAATTACAGTATGTACATTCACAAATACTGTAAAATATTCACACAGTTGTTCCACCCCTATTCGATATAACCAGAAGAGAACGTGGTTAACTCATTTAGGACTCAGATTAGGATAAATCAAGTGGCATTTCTGAATTTAGCATAGTTGAAATGCATCCTGGATAGATAATAGCAATTCTCTGAATCACTGTACAGGTTGCCTGGAGCTGATTTTTTAAATATCATTAGCGTCACTGCCTTTGCATTAAATGTGCAGCAAATTATGGGTAGCTGTTGTGTCTTAGCTGCTCTTTAAAATGTAATCTTAATTAATTTTGGACCTAATAAAGTAAAATTGTAGAAAAGTCATGGGCAAAGGTGAAGAGTATAAAAATATTACCATTTAGAGGAAAAAAGGGTAAGAACGTGCTTTTGACATTTTATTTATCATTGAAACGAATGCTGAATTGACATTTTATTTATCATTGTAATGAATGCTGAATTATGCAGAACACTAACATAAAAAGAAAAGAATCCAGATTTAATATGACATGTTTCACATGTAATAAAAGGGTCATTTCAAGTACAGTATTCCGGGAAGAAAAATAAAACTGCTTTTCTGAACAGCGCCATCTACATTGTCTAAGTGTCCTGTAATTAAGATTAGTTGTGAAAACATGATAGATATTCTGCCCTTGCACAGCTTAATTTTCTTTAGTTCCCATATTCATGTTTTAAGCAAACTAGGCAATTACAGTAGCTCTGAAACTCTTTATCCCATAAATGCTGCACATGCAAAAATTAAATCAGTTTAACTGACTACAAATATACATAAAGTACTACTAGTCTATGATCTCACTCTGATGTTCAGTGAATTATTTTACTGCTTTGTCCTGTATCCAACTAAAATCTGTTTTCTAAACATCCTATTTAACTGTAAATGACCATACTTTCTTGAATTCACCCTGGATCACCCTGAATCTATTGGCCATAGATTAAAAAAGGATCATATATTTAAATGGCTGCGTATTTATGCATCTGCCATGCAATATATCCATTTTGATTTCATATTTAAAGCTACTGCATGAATTGGCAGATTCTGGAGGTTTATGGATGGTATTGACTATTTGGAATTGAAGAGACCTTTTCCTTTGCCAATGCTTACAGTAGCCACTGACAAATATGAGATATGCGGCTAATAAACAACTCACCAGTACATAATTAGTGAGCAAAATTACAGTTTGTCCCCAGAAACCAAGTAGGTTTTCTTTTGGGTACCCCTATCTTATCTCTCACACATCATAGAAAAAGTTAAAATGGTCTGTCTATTATAGCCCTCTGTCCCTTGTCAAAAAGACCTCTGCCCTTCCTTCAATACTAGATTTGTTGAAGATGGAGGTGAAGGTTTAAAGCGATATTAAAGCTTTGATTTTTTTTTTTTTAAATAACAAACATGTCATACTTACCTGCTCTGAGCAATGGTTTTGCACAGATCAGCCCTGATCCTCTTCTTCTTGGATCCCCTACTGGCAATCCTTGCCCCTTTCCCTTGACCTGTGTCCCTAATAGCAAGCTGCTTGTTATGGGGGCACTGATGCATGTTTACTCCTGATCCACACTCTATGCATCCATAAGACAGGCAGCTGTGCCTGAGCCAATGAGGTGAGGTGAATATTTTTGGAGGTTGTGGTGGGAAAAGCACATAGAAGGTTTTTTACCTTCATGCATATGAATGCATGAAGGTAAAAAACCTTCAACCTTTATGCATATGAATGCATGAAGGTAAAAAACCTTCAACCTTTACAATCACTTTAACTACTGACTTTTGAAAAAAAAACAAAAAACTTGAATATCAGTGACATCACTGTTTACATATTCTGCCCATTTTTGGTAAACAAGGACTTCATTTTAAACGTGGATTATGGAGGTGCCACTATGTTTTCAGGTTAGGCCTGTGGAAAGGTTCTTTTTAAAATGTTATTTTAAAACACACTACTCCTTTTATCATTTATGATAACATATATTTATTAGCATTGTTTAGGCATCCTTGATGCTAAATCTTCACAGTATTAGCATTTATAGAATATATACTATATTGCCAAAAGTATTGGGACACCCCTCCAAATCATTGGATTCATGTGTTCCAATAACCTCCTTGGCCAAAGGTGTATAAAATCAAGTGCCTAGGCATGCAGACTGCTTCTATAAACATTTGTGAAAGAATGGGTTGCTCTCAGGAGCTCAGTGAATTCAAATGTTGCATGCAATAAGTCCATCCATGAAATTTCCTTGCTACTAAATATTCCATGGTCAACTGTTAGTGGTATTATAACAAAGTGTAAGCAACTGGGAAGAGCAGAAACTCAGCCATGAATTGGTAGGCCACGTAAAATGACAGAGCAGGGTCAGCGCATGCTGAAGCGCACAGTGCGCAGAAGTCACCAACTGCTTGCAGAGCCAATAGCTAAAGACCTCCAAACTTTGTGTGGCCTTCAGATTAGCACAACAACAGAGGTTCATGGAATAGGTTTCCATGGCCGAGCAGCTGCATCCAAGCCTTACATCACCAAGTGCAATGCAAAGCATCAGATGCAGTGTTGTAAAGGACTTTAGAGCAGTGGAGATGTGTTCTCTAGAGTGACAAATCACACTTCTCTGTCTGGCAATCTGATGGACGTGTCTGGGTTTGGCATTTTCAGGAGAACAGTACTTTCCTGACTGCACTGGGTGACGTGTAAAGTTTGTTGAAGGGAGGATTATGGTGTGGGGTTGTTTTTCAGGGGTTGGGCTTGGCCCCTAATTTCATGCTTCCAACATTGTGGGAACAGTATGGGGATGGCCCCTTCCTGTTCCAAAATGACTGCACACTAATGCACAAAGCAAGGTTAATAAAGACATAAATGAACATGTTTGGGATGAAGGAACGTGACTGGCCTGCACAGAGTCCTGACCTAAGCCCAATAGAACACCTTTGGGTTGAATTAGAGAGGAGACTGAAAGCCAGGCCTTCTTGTCTGACATCAGTGCCTGAACTCACAAATGAGCTTCTGGAAGAATGCTCAAACATTCCCATAGACACACATAGACAAATGTGCGTGTAAAGGCAGGTGTTCCAATACTTTTGGCAATATAGTGTACATGCTAATATCATGCTCTTTGTGATCTCTTAGTTCTACTAACAGAAGTCTGTCAACCATAATACCAACAATTTTAGGAACTGCTATTTACACCCCTACAGAAACAAGACATTTTTAAACATATGGATGTTTAGTAAATGCTAAAAAATATTCCATAAATCATAGCTTCAGCATCAACTGGAGATGAAAAACATACTTTTCAAGTAATGGGACAATGATAGCTTTTATGTATCTTTGGATGCCCACTGAATAGTAAGTGATTGGTAATTAACAAAAGTTCAGTAATAAAAAGGAGTAATTTAGGTAGCATATGGTAAGAATATATCTATAATATGTTATTACACTACTACAGTTTTACATACCATTATATTTCCCTTTTAAGTATAACACTTTAAAGTGGAACTTCACTCTCTCATTCAACTTTAATAATGTTGAATCCTTCTGCTGCTAGCCTTAGTAAATAGATAGGAAAATCTATCATATTTACTTGTTTTAAACTGTTCTTTAAATTTCTTGAGTTATCTCCTACTTTCCATACTTTGGCAAATGATGTCATACATCCCAGGAGCCTGGGTTTTCCCAGCAAAGCAAAACCTCCTACCTGCATTCCTGAGCTAAGCACAGATGGATTCTAGGAAGTAAATGCTACATAAATCATCTGCCCTTACTCAAGAAGGCCACGTACAGAAATGCTAGGGGACATTTTTCAAAGTGATTTCTCTGCAAAATAAAGCATGGAGACATGGATGGATGGGTGAGTTTGCTTTAAATATTAAAAATGTGTTAAATAGCACTTTTGGTTTGTGGTACACAGATACAGTGTAGTTCCACTTTAAATACACTGAAATTAAAACCTAAAACTGTGAGAGGGTGAATGTTCCCAGTGGAGACACATATAGCTGTCAGGGATCCCCTCGATCCCCCCCCCCCCCCCGCCGCGATGGTCCCGGCGCAGGCGCAGTGTGCCGCCCTGTGCAGGGACTCGAGCATTAGGTCCGGGCCGGCCGCGGCGTTCGAGTTTCGCGCATGCGCAGTAGAAGCCGCGGCCGCCCGCTGGGCACCAATGGCAGTGCAGGGCGGGATATTTAAACGACCCTGAGCTGTCATTCAGTGCCTTCTGGTCTTACCTGTATCCTGTATCTGCGAACCTGTGAATTGTAAGTTGCTGACCCGGATTGTGCTTTGACCTTGCTGTATTTCTCCTGCCCTGACCCTTGCTTTGCCTGACCTCTCTCCTGGATGCCCCCTATTGGATTTGACCTGCTGTTGCTGACCTGGCGTGTGACCCGACCATTCTATGCCCGCTGCCTTGTACCTTGCCGTCCTCTCTGTTACCGACCCGGCCTGTCTGACCTTGCTCATCCATCCATCCATCCATCCCGTGCAGTGGGGTCTGCTGACCTCCTCATATCAGACTCTTCCCCGTGGGAGCCCTTGGCGCATACCACTACCACTGACGGACGCACCCAGTAGCCACGACCTGGTCTCAGGGGGCTCCAAGTCCATCCCCACCATCAGGGGCCCTGGTGAACAAGCACCCTGGGACTTAGACTCCGTGCGCTGGGGACGCCTATTCAGTGGAGAGCTAGTGGTACCGCCAGGCGGTCCCTTACAATAGCAATAAAAACTTAACTGATCATATACTCTAAACTTTCCTATACCAATAGTTTAACTGCAGGAAATTTGAACAGTGAGATTGACTGGCCAAAGTTTGCAGCTTTGACCTAATGCCTATTTTAAATAAACTAAATAATATACCATTGTTATGGTAATATGTATTATGTACTAGTTAAAAACACTTTTTTCACAACCATCAAGGAAATCCATCAAAAACTAAAGGATGCATAAACAACATGTGTTTAGCTTAAGTACCAATGCATAATAATTTTGTTGCTGTAAACCGAGTTTATAATGTTAGAAATTAGTAATTAAATCTTGGTAACTAAGAATACAGCCACACCACGAAAGGAAAATCAGTAGAGAATATATTTTCAACTTAATTCCCTGGGGAAAATATTATCTCAAGCCTCAAGAAACATCATCTGTTTGCAAATAGACCCCCTGAGTCATATGCCATTTATCAAACAATTGAGTCCTACTGCTTATACAGTATTATTATTTTATTTATCATAAGCCCCTCTTAACAGCTTTGCTTACATGGGGCACAACATGTAGCACTTTAAAATTCAATAAAACAGATCTCAATATTTCACTAAATTATCTGGAGACTTATTACCATCTGTGACTAAGGTTTTAATGCTACCAAATAATTGTTCTATTTTAAGTTTCAGCCTTTAATGTATTATATGATAATAGTCAGCAACTTCTTACAGTGATCAGCCAGAAGTAAATTGAGTACAGATGTGAAGTGTGTTGGGGAGATTAACTATTTTCACGGTGTTCCAGTGACAAGTTTTACAATATACAGTTGTGTTCAAAATAATAGCAGTGTGTTAAAAAAGTGAATAAAGCTCAAAATCCTTCTAATAGCTTTTATTTCCATACACACAAATGCATTGGGAACACTAGACATTCTATTCCAAATCAAAACATGAAGACAAATATATCAAATTTGTGTTGTTCCTCTAAAAAAAATGAAGAAAAGTGAATATTAGACTGTTCAAAAAAAAATAGCAGTGTTTGTATTCTTCTTTACAAACTCAAACATTCACTATATAAACTGAAAAATGTTTGAAGATTTTGCTTTCCTTTGAATTACTTAATGAATATTTAGTTGTATAAGCACTGTTTCTGAGAACTGCTGTACATCTGTGTTGCATGGAGTCAACCAACTTCTGGCACCTGTGAACAGGTATTCCAGCCCAGGATGATTGGACTACATTCCACAGTTCTTCTCTATTTATTGGTTTTGCCTCAGAAACTGCATTTTTGATGTCACCCCACAAGTTTTCTATTGGATTAAGATCCGGGGATTGGGCTGGCCATGCCATAAAGTCAATCTTGTTGGTCTGGAACCAAGATGTTGCATGTTTACTGGTGTGTTTGGGGTCGTTGTCTTGTTGGAACACCCATTTCAAGGGCATTTCCTCTTCAGCATAAGGCAGCATGACCTCTTCAAGTATTCTGATGTATTAAAACTGATCCATGATCCCTGGTATGCGATAAAAGGCCAACACCATAGTATGAGAAACATCCCCATATCATGATGCTTGCGCAACCATGTTTCACTGTCTTCACAGTGTACTGTGGCTTGAATTCAGTGTTTGGGGGTCGTTTGACAAACTGTCTCCGGCCATTAGACCCAAAAAGAGCAATCTTACTTTCATCAGTCCACAAAATGTTGCGCCATTTCTCTTTAGGCCAGTCAATGTGCTATTTGGCAAATTGTAACCTCTTCAGCACATGTCTTTTTTTCAACAGTGGAACTTTGCAGGGGCTTCTTGCAGATAGCTTGGCTTCACATAGGCGTCTTCTAAATGTAACAATACTGACAGGTAACTTTACACCTTCTTTGATCTTCCTGGAGCTGATTGTTGGCTGAGTCCTTGCCATTTTGGCTATTCTTCTATACATTCGAATGATAGATTTTTTTTGCTTTCTTCCATGTCTTTCAGGTTTTGGTTGCCATTTTAAAGCATTTGCGATCATTTTAGCTGAGCAGCCTATCATTTTCAGCATTTCTTTATATCTTTTTCCCTCTCCAATCAACTTTTTAATCAAGGTACGCTGTTCTTCTGAACAATGTCTGGAACAACTCATTTTCCTCGAATTTCACAGAGAAATGCACTGTAACCAGCATGTACAACATTTGCTGCCTTCCTTCCTTAAATAAGGGCAATAATTGCCACCTGTTTTTCAAAGAATGAATGACTTCACTAATAGAACTCCACACTGCTATTATTTTGAACATGCCCCTTTCAATTAGTGATTCATTTACACAGAATCAGCAGCATGCATGTCATGACTGTTGGGTCTGTTGGATTTCTATTACTCTACTACACCTGCTAGTAAATTATTTGCCATGTAGAGATATAATTTCTACCAAAAACAGTGATTGGTCAGGTTAGTGATGTCTGACAGCTATTTTTTTTTAACACAACTGTAAGTGATCCTAAAACACTAGTTTCATTATTGCCCACCCTTACATTTTGCAGTCACATCAGGATTAGGACTGGAGAGCTAGCACTGCAATTTGTATCCACTGCTGACCTGTTTCTTCCAACGGCAGAAAGGTCAGTTCTGAGCAATAACAGCAGGTCCTTTATAAGGAAATTCAGAGTAGGTTACTAGAGACAAAGAATATGCAAGTTTATAAAATACCTTCTTCAGTTTTGTATATACAAAGGACAGTGGGGGAGCTCAAGTCCATAATGGGGATATTATTAATGTGATTGTAAAGTTTTAAATGTTATTTTTTAAATATAACAAACGTGTTATACGTACCTGCGCTATGCAATGGTTTTGCACAGAGCAGCCCCAGACCTCCTCTTCTTGGGTCCCACGATGGTGCTCCTCTCCCTTCCGTGTGCCCTCATAGAAAGCGTGCTATGAGTTTCCATAAGACACACATACAAGAGCTTGGGTCCACCTCCGCTC